GCAGCCACACCTGGCCCTGCAGCCTTCAAATGACTGCAGCGGCCTGGGGTCGCCAGCCGGCCTCCCTTTAAGCCCAGGCATCTCTGAGCTGGCGGGGGTTCACCTGATGGGGGTGCGGTGCCCCGGAGGGCTGGCCAAGTGGCGACACATCGCACATCGGGAGCCGAAGACGCTCTCCTGCTCCTCCCTCGGGGACTGTGCCCTCCTGGGAGAGAGAGAAGGCAGCGAGGCAGGCAGACGGCAGGCAGAGTGAGCACCTGCTTCCGTCCAGCACCATGGGCAGCTCTGGGGTTTATGTCCTGAAATTAGAGAATAAAGTGATTTTTTAATTAATGTTTTTATCTTTCAATTACACTTGACATTCAATAACATATTAGCCTCAGGTGTACAGCACGGGGGTTAGGCATTTGTACAGCTTAGGACGTGACCCCCCACTAGCTCCAGTCCCCACCTGGCACCACACGGTTATTACAGTAACGACTGTCTGCTCCCTGCGCTTCACACCCCAGGACTGTGCTGTAACTACCAGCTGTGCTCAATCCCCTCACCTTTTCCACCCAGTCCCCAGCCCCCTCCCTCTGGCAGCCAGTAGTCTGTTCTCTGTCTATGAGTTTGTTTCTGTTTTGTTTATTCATTTATTTTGTCCTATAGATTCCACATACTAGTACAAGTAAAATCGTATGGTGTTTGTTTTTCTCTTATTTCACTTAACACATTAGCCTCCAGGTCCATAAACAGTGTTACAAATGGTAAGATTTCGTTCTTTTTCATGGCCAAGTAATATTCCATTGTTTGTTGGGAATCACATGGTGGTTGTTGTTATTTAAGGCCGTGTCTGAGAGTGAGAACTTGGGAGTTAGAAAGACCCAGGTGTCAGCCTCGCTCTGCTACCTCCTAGCTGTGTGTCTATGTGTAAGTGGCTTAACCTCTCTGAGCTTCAGGTCCCTCATTTCCCAATGAGGATAAGTACCAATCTCATAAGGTTGCCATAGAAATGAGTAGAGCTATTGCATGCAGAGCACTTAGTCCAGTGCCTGATTGCGTTAATATCATTACTGACACTAAAAAAATAAAAAATAAATTAGGGGGTTTCTGTTGCCCAGGGGAAGCTTATGCTACATTTTTGGGATGGGCAAAAGGTCAAAGCGCCTGGAACACCAAATTCTCAAGAGAGTCACTCCTCCCAGCTGCCGCCCTCCGTACGTCTCTCCTCCACGCAGAAGAACCCAGAGCCTCCTAAGCAGTGGGCGAGCCCCACGTGTCCCCACCCCGACACGTCATCCACATTCCAACAGACCTGTTCCGGCATCGGTGCACCGGTGGGAGGCGCGGGGACTGCCGGCGTTCCCACACCCTGAGTCCCGCCCCGCCCCTTCTATCGCTGTGGCCCACCGTGCACACGGGGCTCAGGGCAGTTTTCCGTTTTGTTTTTCTTTTTCTTCCATTGCCAATGGGATTTATCAAACCATTTCTCAAGGTGTAATGCTGGTCCCTGTCACAACCTACTCCGAATCTAAAACCAAAATAAACAACACCAACCATATCGAACACACACACACACACACACACACACATACATACATACACACAGTTTTTCCCCTCCAGTCTCCCTCACCTCCACCCTATTTCTGGATGAAGTGATCTTAACCTAAGGGAATCCATGACCTCCCACTAAGCTTTTATGTATAAAAATATCAGCATTTTGGTGCAGAACAGTACATATTTCTCACCAGTTTCCCAAAGGAACCAACTTGGAATCGTTCGCAAAATCTGTCTTGACTCTCAGGTTATGGCAGAGATTGTCGCCTCCCCAGAGCCATTGCCCTTTCATCCCTAGTAATAAAACCCATTTTTAACTGGGTCCATAGCCACCCAGAGTACAGATTGCACTTCCCAGCCTCCCTTGCAGCTAGGTGTGGCCATGTGACTAACGCTGGCCAATGAGATGTAGGCAGACATTCGGTGTGGTAGCTTTCAGAAACTTCTTTAGCTTTTTGTGCGTGTGCTTCTTCCTTCTTCTTCCTTCCTCCCTTCTCGCTGGATGGAATGTGGATATGATGGCTGGAACGCAAGTGGCTCTCTGGTCCATGAGGTGGCTTTGGGAACGGAGCCCACAGAGACAAAACAGTAAGATGGGAAGGTCTCCGTTTCTAGACTTTGTGGAGGAGGAGCCCCATGTCAGTACCAGACAGTCTCTGGGCTTGGACATGAGGGAGAAAAACCTCTCTCTTGTTTCAGCCGCTGTTATTTTGACTGCTATTCACAGCTAAAGCTCATCTTGTATTCAGGGCGAAACAGCTGCAAACAGGAGTCTTGTGTGCTCATAGCTCTCCTTGTCCATCTCTATCGTCCTCTCCAGCTCCTCTCGCCCCCCCCCCCTCAAACCACAAGCACCCTCTCAGGCTGAACCCACCCAGGAGCCAGCTGCCAATTCCCAGACCCAAAAGCAACACAAAACAGACCGACAGACAAACTTGTTTCCAAAGCAGTTGCCTAGCGTCATGGTCACCAACTGGTGGAACCAGCTCGGCCCGGACCTCAGAGGTGCCTGGGAAAGGGACGTCAAAATGCCACTCGCTCCAGCTCTCCCCGCCCAAAGGCCTCAGAGCCACCCCCTGCCTACGCGCCTCAGAACGGCCCTGAAATGCCCACACCCTGAGGAGAGGCGCCGCGCCCCCGGCCGGGGCTCCTGGCGGAGGAGCAGGGGACTGGCCCTCAGAAGCGGGTGCTGAGAATGCGCTTTTGGAGCCGCACCAGGAAGCACGAGGACAGAGGTGGGAGGGCAGCCCCTCGGGACAGTCCAGGCTACGCCCTGGTTCCGGGAGGAGCAGAGGCTGGCTTCTCCCCGGGCCGCTGGCCAGCGGGCGCTCCACTGGGTAGTGAGGCTGGCGCCGATGCAGAGGGAAGAGGCAGCCAGGCTCCCGCGCTATGATGTCAAACGCTCTGAACCGGCGGCCACAGGCCTGGCTTCTGCTTCTCACTCACGGGCCACAGCTAGTTACACGGCTCCTCCCACCCCAGGTGCTAGGAAGGTGCTACCCAGCAGGCGCCCGGGACCTGGCTGCGCCCCGATGTGCGCCCGGTCCTGTGCCCAGTGTCGCTGACCCGGCCACAGTCACACGCAAGTCCCCGCCCTCAGCCCTCATGGCCTGACGTTCGGAGGGAGGAGGCAGAAAGCAAACACGACAGAGGGTAGCTTATGACGTAGGGGCAAGTGCCGCAGAAGACGAGGCAGTCAGCCGAGGAGAGACTGGGCCTCAGGGCCAGCGGGTGGGGGTCTCTGAGGATGTGGAATTCCAGTGGAGCCAGGATGGAGGGAGAGACAGCCTGGAGGTGGGGGGGGCCCCGGGCAGTGGTGGCAGCGGAGGGTGTGGGGTCCTCAGACAGGAATGGGTGTGGTTCTCCTGTCTGGGGACAGAAAGGGGGTCACTGGGCCTCAGCACGGGGAGGGAGGGAGGGAGGGTGGCAGCAGGGAACGGGATCAGAAAGGTAGCCAGCAGCCTTCGTTTCCTCCATAGACCTGTCAGCACCTGAAATGGCTTTAGCTGTTGATTTGATGACTTGTTAATGGACAGACATGAGAGCAGTCGCTTGTCTCGTTCCCTCCCCGCCTCCTCGCTGGCGCCTCGCGGGTGCTTTGCATGTAAGAACGAGTAACTATGAATGAACGCGCGAGCGAGTGAGCGAGCCCAGGCGCGCCCTTGCTGGGCTGCTTCGGAGCCGGTCAGCGAGATCGCACTCCGCGTAGCCTTTTCAGCATGAAGCAGGGTGGACAATGTCCCGCTGCGGCCGAGGGTTGCCGTGAGGATGAAGAGGTGAGGCACATGGAGCATTTAGCAGAGCCTGGCGGGAAGTGGGCCTCAAATCACGGGGCTTTGTTTTGGGTTTGTTCAGAGAATCACACGGCTGCTAGGAGCCCGGACCCTGCAGCCAGACTGAGTGGGTCTGATAACTGCTCTGCCGCTCAGAAGCTGTGTGACCCTGACCCCGTCACTTAACCTCTCTGTGCCTCAATATTATCGTCCTCCAGTGGAGAGAATAAACTGTCTTAGAGCAACTTGGGTGAGGAATACTTAAGTTGACATCTATAAACACAACTGGTGCAAAGCACTAATGCTTGCTATTCTTACTGTTAGGATTGTTATTATAATTTTCTGTAGAGGTGGTCAGAGGAGCTGATCCCCTGGACAGAGCTTTGGAGGCAATAACAGGAGGCTGCTAGGGCTCAGTCAATAGCGTTACCTTCCTAGGACTGTGAGGCACAGGCTTGTTGAGGGCGGGACCGTGTGATTGTTATGTTATTTGATTTATTAGCCATTTGGTTTTGTATGGGTGTGCGGCAGAAGCAGAGCACAGGGCCCCACGTTCAGACACAGTTGGGTTCAGAACCCACAAGCGGGTGGCCTTGAACAAGTCACATCATGCCTCGAACCTCAGTTTCCTCATCTGTAAAATGGGATGATGATAATAGGAACCTCTGAGGGGGGGAGGGGGGACTGATGTGAAGATTAAATAAAAACATGCTTGGAAAGCACTTCGCTTGGGGTCTGGCACCTTCTAGGCGCTAGCTCGGGAGATGTTAGTGAATAACCCAGAGCTGTCACTGTGTGGGGTCTCTCACGTGTGTGCACAGGGCTGCTAACACATCTTACTCAGCCAAGATACACTGAGCTCCGCAAGGCACCAGGCACTCTTGGGGGGGGGGGGGGGGGGGGGGGGCTGCTGCGAACAGGACACCCAGTAATTCTGCCCTCAGGAGCCAAGGTCTTCTGTGGGGCCTGAGGGAAGGAGAGAAGACAGGAGCGTGTGGCCCCCATGGCCAGAGACCTGCTGGCTCTGGGAACTCCGAGAGAGGGAGCTTGGAGTTGGTCTTCCGGGGCTTGGAGCCTAGTGGGGGCGGGGTTGTCCCCACACCCGGAAGAGAGTTCCAAACCCTTGGAATTGCAGCTAAAACATGAGGCAGAAATGTCCTGCAGAAACCCTTGCCTTTAAGGGAGTCACAGAGGCCTTCCAGCCCCTCCCACCATGGCTGCCCCGCAGGTGCAGGCCGAGGAGCTGGGGAGGAAGGGAGGGCATGGGGTTTCTTTCTGCGTGAAAAGCAAAGGCACAGAGTCAGGCGAGGACAAGCCTGTGTCTGTCTGTCTGCCTGGCACCACCTGTGCGGCTGCGGGCTTCTCCCCGGGCCCGTGTCCAGGATGCTGGTGATGCCACCCTCACCCTGGCTGGTCTGTTTGAGGGTTCACTGTGGTCCTTCCGTGTTGTGGACGAAAGGGGCCACATGCTGACCTGACAAGCTCAGGGAAGGCCTGCATGGCAGTCTTGCAAACTCAGAGACCTAAAGTCACCACAAAGGATGGTCTGAAATTAAACTGTAACTAAAAGCAGTGATGGTGGGCAGCTACTACGTCCTAGGCCAGTATCTTCACTGACAAGGTCAGCCTTTACCTTCACTGAGCCTGTCTGTCTTTTTGCATCTATGATAACATATCCTGGAAATGTCTGGGTAACTTGTAACTTCCCTTTTTCTGGAGCCCCTGGGGCACCACCAAATGTGGTGGGTGCCAGGACAGATACTACAAATTCCTTCATTATCATGTTAATTGATCCTGCACCCACCTAAGTATGTGTCCATCATTTTACTTTTTTAAAAAATATATTTTATTGATTTTTTACAGAGAGGAAGGGAAGGGATAGAGAGTTAGAAACATCGATCAGCTGCCTCCTGCACACTCCCCACCGGGGTTGTGCCCGCAACCAAGGTACATGCCCCTGACCGGAATCGAACCTGGGACCCTCGAGTCTGCAGGCCGATGCTCTATCCACTGAGCCAAACCGGATAGGGCCATCATTTCACTTTTTATCCAATCCCAGGGGTTTCCCTGCTTTGCTTTATCCCTCCTCCTTAATCTATCACCAATGAATTTCATGTAACCCACCTACGTCCCTCCTTTGATTGCAAATGTATAAATACAGATGTAACCCCGCCATTCTCCGGAGCACTATCTCAATTCGTTGAGGTTCTGCTTCCCGGCATATGTCGACAGTTTGGCTCAGATAAACTCACAAAAATTCTTTACAGGTTTCAATGTGTTTTTTTTTTACGTTAACAGTGTGGAAGCTCCAAGAAGATGGCAGCCTAAAGCACCCCATCCCTGGGCCTGGGGCCTAGCACCCCCACACCCTCCAAGGGCCTCCTTCCCAGGAGAACCAGCCTGGACGCTCCCTCCTCCCTGGCCCCCCCGGGCCTGGCCCTGTGTTCTCACCCAGGGAGCTTGCTGTCATTCTCCTCGGGGGTCAGCTGACTCCTCCCGAGGTGGCTGGGTCAGCAGGACAAGCAGCTGCCTCCCTGCTCAGCTTCCCCGAGCAGAAGGCTGGCCTGACCCCAAAATGCAGCAAGTGTCCAGTGGGGGCGGGACAGCAGGCCCGTGGGAGGGTCACCGCACAGGACCCGGGCAGCAGAGTCCATTCTGGCTGCTCCCGTGGCTCCCAAGTCCCACTGGCTCAGGCTCCAACCCTCAGCCCGCTGTGTGGCCCAGGGCAGGTGGCTTTACCTCTCTGAGCCATGAGAATTCAATGCAGTCACAAGTAAAAGAGCTGAGCCCAGGGCCTGGTACACAGTCAGTGCTCAGTACGTGGAAGTGGTGACCATGATTATAAGAGGCGCAGAGCAGAGGGCTCAAGAGCGACACTGCCCAGGTTCGAATCCCAGCTCTGCCACTTAACAGAGACTGTATACATGGGCAAGTCACGTCATCTCGCTGTACCTCCGTTTCCTCATCTGTAAAATGGGGTAATGACAGTCCCTTCCTTGTAGGGCCACGGGAAGATTAGATGAATATACGTAAATTGAAAGTGCTTAGAATAGAACCTGCCACATGGAAAGTGCCAGATAAATGCCAATGATGCCTACATCTGTTTGCTGGCTGCACACCCTCTCCTCCCGCCCCAGGGCCTCGATGCTGCAGGCACTCTCCGATGAGAAGGTGGATGAGGCCCCGAGGCTGTCCCCACCTCCTCCCAGGCTCTGTGGGGCCATGGAGGGCGGCCTGCAGAGGAAGAAGAGGAGGGGCTTTGAAATAATTCCACCTGCAGACTCGCCCACAGACACACACAGCCCGACAGACACACCACCCACTCAAACCCACAGCAAACCCACAGCAAACCATGGGACCCAGCCGCTCCCCCTTCCCACCCACCCGGAGCCCTCACCCGGCCCCGGCCCAGGCCCCAGGCCCCAGGCCAGGCAGCGCCCTCTGGGCCATGCAGTCACCCTCTATCCTGGCTCCACACCAGCCGCCTGGCCCCGCAGTAATTACAGAGAGCGCCGAGGCTCAGGCCCAGCTGTGACGTCAGCCCGAAGCTTCCAGCTGGATGATCTCACCCCGCACAAGCGGGGACCCAGGCACTGGGATGTGGTGCAGGGGCCAGGCCGGGGCTCAGCCTCCCTCTGGATAGAGGGCGAGGTGGGTGGGGTCCGCTCAGCAGGCATCAGACATTCAGGAACAACCCAGACCCCCGCCCGGGCCCTGCCGCCCCACAGCTGTGTGCAGGGGCCGAACCCTGCGCCCGTTTCCTCGCCTGCCAAGTGGGTGGTGGCGACACCCCTGCTGTTGTGAGGCTGCAGGTGCTCGCCGCGCGGTGGGCACGCAGGGCGCTCAGGGATGGTGAGTGCTGGTACCTCCATGTTCTTATTTTTAGCAACTGCCTCATGCGGGCACTGCTTCACATCACAAGGATTTCTCAGCCAGTGACTCACTGAATTCCTTCGCACCCCCACCCCACCCACAGGCCAGGGGGCCGAGCCCCAGAAGCTCACAGAGGGAACGCAGGCCTCAGATGGCCCACCTGTCGGGGGCAGATCAAAGACAGGGGCCCTCCCATCAAAGGGGGGTTTGTAGTCATTCCCCAAGCCCCCGGGGGTGGGGGTGGGCGGGGAGCAGGGAATTGGAGAACAGGTCCTCTCTGCGCTTCGCATGTCAGACCAGGCCCCCTGCCGGAATCGCACCTGTTGAGAAGTTTCACTATTAACATCAGCATAACAACGTGGAGGCCACCATTGTCACCCGGTCCTCCTCCGGCAGCTTCCTTTCGCCCGGCACAGCGAGCTGTGGGTGAGAACTCAACGCTGAAAAGACGGCCGCCCAGCGCGGGAGGTGATGTGCCAGCTTCATCCTCCGACCGTCCTCTGACCTGGGGGACCAGCGAACCCCCTTTCTGAGAAGGAAGCTGCCAGAGGAGGACGTGCTGACAGTGGTGGCCTCCACGTTGTTACGATGATGTGAATAATGAAACTTCTCAACAGGTGCGATTCCCAGGCAGGGGGTCGGGTCTGACATGTGAAGCGTAGAGAGGACCTGTTCTCCAATTCCCCGCCCCCCCCTCGGCCCCCGGGGCCTTGGAGAATGACTACAAACCCCCCTCAGGACACACCCGCAAGCAGGCGGCTCTGAGGTCCACTTTACAGGTGGGAAAGGGGCAGTTCAGGGCGCTTGGGAGTAAGTGAGAGCCCTGGCCGGCGCTGGGGGCAAGCTCTGAGCGCTTGGAGGCGGCTGCAACCCAGGGCCATTGGCCTTCAAATCCATGGCTCCCAGGTCCCTGGTCCCCTTCTGCGGTCCCCGGGGGCGGCAGGATCAGTAGGCGCGGGGGCGGGGAGGGAGGGGAGTATTTGCA